GTCAGGAAATTTTTCGAGTATATATTTATTTATTTATTTATTTATTTATTTATTTAAGAATTAAGATGGGATGCGCACATTAACAATGTTACAGCATCGGCTTTGCGTAAACTGTTTTTCCTACGAAGGCGTTTACCCTTCGCGCCGACAGATACTAGGCTCCTAACTTACACCACATTCGTGCGACCAATCTTGGAGTACGCTAACACTGTGTGGTTCCCGCAAGGTGTTACTAATATAGCAAAAGTTGAACGGGTTCAAAGGAAGGGCATTAGGTTTATACATAATAAGTACAAACGCACCGACTCGCCCACAAACCTTTTAGAAACCTCCGGTCTACCCACGCTTGCAACAAGAGCAAAAATCGCGCGTCTCAAATTTCTATACCACATTCTGCATAACCACAGCCGGATCGATGCATCCAGGTACATATCTTTGGCAGAATCACGAACACTACGACATAAACATGCATACACTATCAAAGAATACGCTTCCAACAACGACTGTTTCAAGCAATCCTTTTTCCCCCTGTCAATCAGCGAATGGAATAGGTTAGATCCCTCCATTACTAACGCACCATCACTGGCAGAATTCACTTCAAAAATTGAGACTATACTTTGAGACAACGGCTTTCTTCAACCATGACCTCCATTATTGTTTTCCAGTAGTATTTATTTGGATGTATAAGTATACACAATGCCTTCTCTGTATAAAACTGTATTGATTCTTTTTATGCAGCAAAGATTCAGTTCGCTGCTTCCGAAGTGTGAATATTTGGAGTGCATAAATACCTATGTCTAATGTTTCTATGTAACTAGGATTATTATTACCAATTTTAAAATAACTACAGTTCTGTATGCCGCCTGTAAGAAAGTACTTAGCATTCATTGTATTCTGTAACTCATGCCCTCCTGCTTTGGTCTCGTAAGAGACTGGCAGTATTGTAAATAAATAAATAAAGTATATATATATATATATATATATATATATATATATATATATATATATATATATATATATATATATATATATATATATTTAAAAAAGAAGAATGGTGTTACCCGAACCAAACTTAGTGCATATAGTATAGCGTAGCGACCACTACTAATTTTTTGCGTTAATGACAATTGAGTAAATAATTATTGTATATGCACGCCAAATAGTACTTGCCTATTTATCTAATTATCAATGAGATGGATGTGTGTAGGTTCAAACAACAACTGTATTTGGTACTTTCAATAACGTACTAATTACGTGCTCATTTTTTATGCTGATAAAGAAAGCCCGCAATATATGAAAAGTAACACTTGACTATACTGCTGCGTGCATCTGTAAGCAGCGCCTTCAAACATAATCACTTTTAGGTGGCCATTATGAATGAAAGAAATGTAGAAAGAAGAAATGTCACAGCTTTGTCACAAAGGCACCGAGCAAGAATATTCCAGCTCCAAACGCAAAGGCGAAGCAATGAACGCGATAGCAACAAATTGGAAAGTCACGCCAAGAATAGCAAGCAGATTGAAACGTGCCCCACTTTCCTTACGCACAATGGACGCACGAAACGTAATCACAGGTACAGATGAACGCGAATAACTTAAATGACAAACGACACAGAACCTGCAAAAGGTGCATAGCCGCTGGATACCTAGCTGTGTCTCAAGATGCTTTCTCGGTGGCTATGTATACTCGTGCACATGTTGTCAAGTGATGTTCGCGACTGTGGCAGGAATGATTGTACAAAATCCGTTTCACCGAAAAGTTGAAGCAGTGAGTGTGATAGCGACAAATTGCAATGTCATACGAAGTGAGGCTGGCAGTCAACTCATTCAGATCCGGTCTCACGTAACTCTACAAAACGCCGGTGTAAGAGGCCGCTCCAGGTACACTCATGGCACCGATTTTGCATGTTGAGAGCGCAACCCGTAGAAGCTCCCGCCTGTTGTGGAGGCACAAGGCGGGGGCGGATCGTTTTCGCGATAGCGTGGCAACTAATATGCACTCCCCCGCCACCCTGTTCGCCCACGAGATAAGCGTGCGTGCAGACGACCGGGGCCGGCAAGACCGTTTATATATATATATATATATATATAGCAGGCGCCGCGTCGGCAGGATTTTGCCACGTGATCCGTACACTTTTGCTCACGCCTGTACACAAAAGGAATTTTCGTGTGACGTCAGTGGCATTACATGCCTGCTACCAGCACTGTCCAATGTTGACAATAATACAAGCCATCAATGTAAACCCATTGTCTTTAGCAAAAATTCAAGTAAATTGAAGGCTATGGGTGTATATAGCCGCCTGGTGTATTTATCTTTCCAGGATAGCATTTTTAAAGGCCCAAATAAGCCAATCATACGGTCAGGCTGGACTTACTTTCCCACATAAGGCTTCTAAAGGAGCCATTTGTGGGAAGTTTATGGTTACGTAAAGCCAATTGAGTTCTTGCACCCACATGAAACCCAGGCGGGCTCGTAGCGGAGGAGCACATGCATGGTCTCTCACTTCTCGGTACCCATTGGATTTGGGTGTGGTTTAGGGAGACTGCATCAGGTACACGTAATGTGGAAGAGATCACCTAAGGCAAAAAACCACACGGGATCGGTGCAGCATAGTCGCGACGCGCCTATCCTTCACCCATGGCCTCCGCGATCAGATCCGGATTGCACTGGCGCGCTGCCAGGTAAAATCGCGCAGGCAACGATGATAGCGAAGTTAGCCGCGGCCGGATGCAGGATGAAGTGTTGAACAAGTTGTGGGCTCGATATATATTGTGGCCGTCGCCGGAACGCTGTTTTCGGGCTGCCCATGCGTGGGCAGGTCTTTCATGTTCCTTCCAGCGTTCATCACAGGTCAACTCCTACGCATTAACTAATCTGCAGCGTGACTGACTACGCCTGGACTCCTACTGATCAATCGCCACCTAATGGCATAGGTGTACTGCTAAGTGGGCGAGCTGGTGCATGATAAAATGATACTGCTTTAGCGCAGCTCAGTTTGAGCGTGAAGGAAAGATGCTACGCAGTCAAGAAGGGGAAAAAACAGACTGCAGGTGAGTGCTCACACTGTCGTCGGTTTTTTTTCCTCTTCTTGACTGCATAGTATCTTTCCTTCACTCTCAAACTGAGCTGCACTAAAGCAATATCATTTGGCATAGCTGTGCTGCGTGAGTAGGGTATAGGGAGCAAGAAGGCGGGCCTTCCTCATCGGCAGGGGGTTGGGGGGCGCCAATGTTACTCCATACCTTTATGCAGACGGACCTATCGCGTTCTTTTTGGTGCGTATGGTTATTGTTACGCATGTCTCACGATTCTGGCGACCAGTGACCCCTGCTGTTGCATTCGAAGAACTGTGTACTTTCTACTTTGGCAAAGCCAATGGCAAGCATTCATGAAGAGGAAGCCATTGCTTCATTTTCCTTTTTTGCAGCCATTGCGGAGTACTTTTTCTTTGTGACTTAACCAATGGTGGTAGGGAGCGCCATAGGCGTGCATACGGATATGGCAGGCGGGGGAACCCCCTCTCCCCCAGTCATCTAATAAGGGTGCCAAATTTGCCCTATATATTCACTAAATAGGGATTGGGGGCGTAAAGTCCCATACATTGGCGTATTAGGGCGAGGGGCGCTGCGACAAACCTTGCCTTGCCCCCCTCCACGGGGGAATCTTGTGCATGCATATGGGGAACGCTAAGGTGAAGCTTGCTTGGTCCCCTTGATGAAAACGAGTGCGTACGCATATGACCACTGGGATGTGATTGGGGCATGTACCCGCACAGTGTGAAAGAGATGCAGGCTGTGGTGACCACTTGTAATTGGTACAGTCCATACAGCTACTGTCACCTTTTTCCCAGGTCCTAGATGAAGGATAATTTACAGGAAATGCTTTCACACGACATCTACAGCCATTGGTGATAAGTTTTTCAAACTTTTTTTAATAACTGGTGTAGCTTTAGAGGTATAGTTTAGCCCTTGTGCATGCCTATGACTTACCCACTCACATGTTTACTCAATCTCCATCTGCAGTGTCGCCGACATCGTGGGCCTCAGCACGAGCAACACGACCGACGAACCCAACACGGTCCAGGTGGTGGGAGCCAGTCCCCGGTTCCTTTGGGCGTCGCCGCCCAACCCGATTCGCGGCATATTACCGGGCATCCGAGGCATGGTCAGTGTTTACACCTAGTCTTTGTGCTCCTAATTATTGCCGTGTGCCATCCAGATGATGTTGATTACGGGTGACAGTGACACTAAGAATATATGAAGGCCATTGTCACCTGTTGGGGCAGTTTTCACCAGAAGGATGGCAACTTTGGCTTACGTGTCTGATGAAACACCGCAGCCAAGTAAGAAGGCCACATCGTTAAAATGATCTGACCTCCCTTTGCTCTGGTGTTGCAACGGGAACTTTGCCTTTTTATTTTTTGCTTGAGGTTTCGCAGCATGCCTTCTAGATATGTGTTCAATGTTGAGCTTTGTGGCTTTCTCAAAATGTCAGCATTGAGAAGCGCATCAAGACCACCTGTGCAGATGACTTATGTATAGGGGGACACCACGTCTGACAGTGACTATCGCTATCGGCCGCCTATTAACTAAGATTTAATAACATTTTTGTGACTGCAGCAAGTGGGTGTGTATTAAAAATCTGGAAGCAGTCGCACTCATACACAGATCTACTTGGACGAATTATTCTGGCATGTCCGTGCTACGAGATATCGCGCCGGAAAGTTTAATGGAGCAGCAACCACAAGGTTCTGAGCGAGCCCAGCCTAACCTCGGCGGATCACGTGACATGACGTCACATGTGCTCTGGTGACTCGAGGTCATTGCGACACGATAAATGACCTTGTGAGACATGGCATAATAGAGTGGTCACTGTACAAAGTTGTCTTCACCGCGCATTGCATGTATACCCGTATTTGGGTCAGGGTCTTAGCGGGTCGCGTGAAATTTTCTTTCTTTACATGTGTGCAAACCTGTTATCGCAGTTGGATATGTTGCAAGAGTTCTCCTACTACAAGCGACTCCTGAACCAAGACAGAATCTGCTTCTCGATCTCCTCGTCGATAAACTACGCCAGGAACTTGAACCGCAATATCGACTTCAGGATGGAGATGGAGGACATGGACGAAAGCGTCATACGGTACACTCGTTACAGGGTGAGTTTGCCGTTAACTTCATCATTGGGTGTAAAACTTTTGCGAACTATGACCAAAATTACACGTTCTCTCCTGGCATATGCAGGCAGAGGCGGTTCCAGGATTATTTTACTGGGGAGGGGGCACGATAAATGATCCAGTCCCTTTAAGGGGGGCAGGGGGGGAACTTAGTCATTATGTAAGGACTACTCATGTTCCCTGTTACCTCTTGAGGGGGCAAGGTGGGAGAGAAGGGCAGGCAAGAATTTTGGGGTAGCTCCAGCCCCCCTGTGCCCAACTTTAGCGTATGCAGGGGTAGCCCCAAAATTTTTAAAGTCGAGAGCACTATAGCTTAACAAACGCTGTACATGCCTCATCAAACGCCTTACGCCATGTCTTACATGCCTCGTCCGCTTAATCCGCTTAATGTTAATTTTGAATCGTACAAAAGCGAAGAGCATATACTATTGTATTACACACAGTTGAAACATAACAAAATTGCTGTTAGTTAAGACTATTGCGCAACAATGCGTTATGAGAGAAAAAAGCTTATCAACTATGCAAAATCTTGAAGTGTGCCTGTCAAGCTATAAGAAACTAGTAATCAATGGTAGGTGCTACAGTTACAATGCCAACGATGACGCTGTGTACAAAGTGACACCGATTTACAGTGCCAGTGGTTTCGACGAGTCTTCTACCCAATATTTAAGGTCTGGCCACGCGGTTTCGGCAGCACGCCGATAGCATGACGTGAGGGGCAAGTGCCCTAATAAAAAAATAAAGAAACAGCGAACTGTGCTGCCTAGTATATGACTGTGAAGCTGATATTATCCCTCTAACCAAGAAATGGCTGACTTCAAAAGTATCGAACTAGGTCGATGTAACAAACCGTATAACATTACCGGTATGACCGTGCTAACACTACAGGCGGGGGTATTCTGCTGGCTGTTAACAAGTGTTATGAGTCTTTTTTTATCCTAATAAAGTGTGACATTGAATCTCTATAGTGTTACCTGAGCATTAATGTCATAAAGATTGTCATCGGAGTTTGTTACCGCGCTTCATCAAGCAATTCGTCATTTCGCGACAATCTGTACAATTCAAGTGACAAGTGACAATTCAGTTTCCAGCAGCTGAGTATTATCATGGAGTGGCGTCATTTTACAGAGTATCTGTTGGTGAGGACCATGTACATTTTCCCGAATGTCATCATCCGAAGCTAATCGTTCATTGAATCATGCACTGATTTCAGCTTGCATCATGCACTGACCTACACGCGTAACAAAAACTACGTCATCGCTCTTGTATTATGTCCTCATGTCATGGACTGATCTCTCTTCTGTGGTTCACTCACCAGGACTGAGTGATGACGATGTTCTACATTTTTCTATCACTCTATCATGGTCGCCATCACGCAACCACTTTAAAACAATCGGAAATTACAGGAGAGGGAACTTTGATACTAATAACGTTGCGCTCTTAACATTCTCAGATCAGATTTTGAAAAACTTCAACAACCGTCTGTATGAGCTGAACTGGCAAATGTTCAAAAGGAAAATAAATAAATTATACAACCAATTCGTTCCTGTTAAACAAGTTTTCCCAAACATCAAAGCGCCATACGCTACAACATATCACTGACCCATCTTTCTAACAAGAAAAACCTCTGTTTTGCATGGCAAGGCATTTGCGATGTCAACATAAATGGGAGGTTTATAAGAGTGCAGCTTCTACTTATCTAGCAGCACTAATAGCTTCCAAGTACTATTTTTTCCAAAATACACTTCATAGCATGCTGAAAAGTAACCCAAAGAGTTTTCGGAAACTATTTCGGTGTAACGATACGCAAACCATATCTATAACCACATCTAATGGTGATCCTGTACCCAGTCGACAATGTGCAACCATTTTGATTTATGCATTCATGGTAATTTTCATCCTGAAGGCCAGGTAATTAACTACCACATGTGACCCCTTGTTATTTTTTTCCAATAAACCCTATTATTTCTTAGTCTGCTGACATCGTAAAAAAAATTTAAAACTTAAAGCTTGGCTCGTCTTGTGGAGTCAAAGGTACCAGCTCAAAGTTTTTGAAAAATACCCTTGAGTATTGCTCCATTATCTTATAATACATTTTTTTCACAATCACTCCATTCTGCCTCATTACCTCAGGACTGAAAGATAGGAAAGATTGCACCAATCTTCAAATCCGGTGAAACCCATAACTCTCTTAACTACGGATCAATATCTCTAACTTCAATACCATGCAAACATGTAGTTACCATGTAAACATGCAAACTTTTTCGAAGATGATTCTAACTTTCAACGTGGGTTTCACAAATCTTTCCCTTGCGAAACACAGCTGCTTTTATTTACTCGTGACCTGTACACTTACCTTGACTCTGGCTTTCCCATTGACTGCACATTTCTTGACTACTATAAATCCTATAACCAGTGTTTGAATCGGTCTTATGCTTTACTTTTTTGTCTTTATTGTACATTGTTACTGTACTCACCTGATTGATTGTTCATGTATTTTTTCTTCTGTTTTTATCTCTCTTTGTACTTGCCCCTCCCCTCTATAATGTAATGTCTGTACCTTGAGGGTATTTCAAATAAATAAAAATAATTAAAGAACGCAAAAAGTGACCGTCTTTCATGATGGCGACAATGCCAATACAGAAAAATCATATGACTGCATCATAAACTGACGTCACCATGTCGCACATCACTGGTATCTGTGAGGCCATTATGATTCAATTATGATATTATCACGTGACATGCCCCACGACAAGCAACTCCTACAAGTGGCCCACGAAAAGCGTGTTTCTCCATGCAGAGAGGAGCGTATCACCTACATTTGGTCAGCTCTCAAAGTTTTCAAGAAAGTGGCGCCGCAACCCCCCCCCCCGCCTTCCTTGGCGCCGCTCCTGCAACCTCGCGGGACGCATGTGACAATATATACAGTGTAACATTAGAAAGATTTAACACGTAGATGGACTTTAAAGATGCACACAGAGTCGATCTTTGCGATACGGCACTTTATTTCATGAATTAGGTGTCAAAACGTCTCTACTCCTTCTTTCACACTTGTTTCCTTGTTCGTCTGGCATTTCGGACCTTTGTCGATGTCTAATTCATTACCTTTGTACATACGTCGCACCTGCTATTCCGCATCTCGCAGTTCACTTCCATCGACAACCACACAAATCAGTTTCCGTTGGATTCGGATAACTTCATGTACGAGTTCAACGACACCACCTACACGCACTTTTGGAGCCTGCGTGTCGGAGGCTATCTTAAAGGTTTTTTCGCGTACGACAGTGCCACTACGATCGCTTACAAAGTGAGTACACTTCACAGAAGTGGTGCTTTTCCATATGCACGACTCAGTCGCTTAGCATGTACTCATACTCGGGGCAGTGTCGCTGTAGTCGGTATACCGACACCATTATTCGAGGCTGAGTTTACTCTGTCATACAAACCTCGTGTATACAGAGCCGACTATACGAGAAAGTCTGGAGCTTAAAGGGGCCCTGAAACACTTTTTCAAGTAACCATGTATTGAATTCACTGGAAGAGCTGGTTGCCTTACGAATTCAACGCCGAAAAAGTTTTAAGAATCCGTCCAGTGGGAGTGGAGTTACAAAGATTTGTCGCATGCTGCAATTGCATTCTCTCTTCTCTTGTCCCAACGAAAGCACTGGTAGCTAAGCAGGGAGAGATAGCAGGGGCGAAAAAAACGTCACTCGCACCTCGTGACCTTGAGCACATTTTTTTCTTTTTTTTCGAATATGTGGCTTCTTTAGTGATATTGAAGGCGCATGTGTAGACAAGTGGCGACCTCTCATGGCAATCTCTGTAACAACCGAGCGCACCATGTTCAAATCAGCCAATCAGCCAAGACTGATAGATGCGCTTTCTACGAGTAATTTTTGAGCGTCTTCCATCATTTGTAGAGAGAAGAGAAAGCAATTTTTAGCTGACTTTGATCATTTATAGTGAATTCCAGGTTGCGTGCTGCACTATAATAATTGGCTCACGTGTTGTTGAGAACCTCTACTACCGATCGGCAGTGTTTTTTGAACATGCTCAAAAAGTGTTGCAGGGCCCCTTTGAGAAATGCTGGAACCGATGCTGATGATGATACTGATAACATCGAAGTCAATTTTTGCATGATGCGCACACTGACGACAGAAGCGTGACGTCGGGCAATTATGGTGACTTTATACAGAAATACAACTAGTTGTGATGTCTGGCACAAAAACATAAAAATTGTCTGCTTGCTCGTCAACGACGGTATGGTGGCTAGAGAGAATATAGCCACTATACCAACGAAACGACGGAGCGGAGTGGTCATGGAAACGTCAGATCTTGCGCAGTGCAAGCACCTGACACAAGCACGAATTCCGTCATGGCACTAAATTTCATAATGGCGTCCTTTTAAGCCAATCGCAGTGGTCGTGGCAGCAGCAGCTGCCTTCTGAGCAAATCATAGTTGACAATATAGCAAATTTGAAAATATGGCGAGCAACCTTCAATTCGCTAACTCAGTCGTCTGCCCATATTATGATGCAGACAGAGTGGTGCCTACTTTAGAAGAACGGCTGTCCCCCTGCCCCTGTGCGCAAATCAGGCGCGCACCCACCAGGCTTCGCTTGCCCACATTATTCCGGTTGGGGAAGGGCAAATTATTTTTTTGTATTTGTATGTGGCACTTTCGCAGATGAATGAGCTACTGGACGCCTACCCTGGCGACCGATGCGTCGTGTTTGACGACCTCGGTGACGATATGTGGGAAGGCAGCTTCACGCACAATGGTCGCACCATCTCCTTCCAGAAGTACGAGATGCTGCACGCCATCTCCAGCGCCATGGTGCAGAGATACGGCCCGGCCTTCCCACCAAAATATTACTAGGTTGCTTGCATAGTGGACCGTGATTGTTTGTGCATCCTGCAGCGCTCGTTCAGTTGCCAGACATCATCACGTCGCTGTGGGTTGTGGACAGAGGAGACGGGGGTGTCAAGAATATGCGTGCTAAGTGAACACTCCTATGCGCGCTAATGTGAACGACGCTGACTTGCAACTCAGTGTCATAAAATAATTATTCAGCCCTTAAAAGCTTGCTATTAACGTACATGTAAAAACTCAATAATTATCTTGTCTTCTTAATGATGTAATCTTGTTATGACCTTTTACGTCTTAGACATATACGAGCTATTGATAGCACGTCTTCTACCACTGTTATGTGTATATGTGACTGGTTGAGATGTACTTTATTCTGAACTTGCTAATGTTGCATTTAACATGACGCATGCATTCATTCAATGTAGCAACTTCATTCACGGATAACTCCCACATTGTATAACACTGCACAGTATTCTATTATCACTATGGCACTTGTGCAAAATTTATGTTGCAACATGCGCTTACACTACCGAAAAGAATTTGGGTCCATTTCAGGTGTATTGAAACACCTCTGGGCCATATTACTTGGTGTACACTGAATAAAGCTTGCTTGATTGATTTTAAACCGAAGGTTCATGAGAGTCGGGGAATGCACGCAGAGCTCTCACAGACCCGCATAACTTCCGAAAGCATGGTACGCTGTATCAAATTCGTAGAGCGACAGAGTTTAAGCTATACTCCATTTCATACATCAAGTGCAACACTGGAGAAGCTGGCGAGACTTCTTGCGGTACATGTGCTCGCGCCAAGAAATAGTTCAATGATCTGACTACCCATACTGTGTTTTTATTTTCCTTGATTGATATGTGGGGTTTAACGTCCCAAAACCACCATATGATTATGAGAGACGCCGTAGTGGAGGACTCCGGAAATTTCGACCACCTGGGGTTCTTTAACGTGCACCCAAATCTGAGCACACGGGCCTACAACATTTCCGCCTCCATCGGAAATGCAGCCGCCGCAGCCGGGATTCGAACCCGCGACCTGCGGGTCAGCAGCCGAGTACCTTAGCCACTAGACCACCGCGGCGGGGCTGTTTTTATTTTCCTTTCGTTTTTAGACCAAGTAATAAATTTACATCCTTTGTGCCTGAGAAATAAAGAAACCACGTGATTGTCAATAAATTGTTCAGTATCGATGAGCATCTATGGTTTTGTATTATGGTCTCCATGATCAGTGTTATCAGCACGCAGCTGGAGCCCATTGAGGAGACCACGTTTGCAAGGACAAAATATGAGCGTGGTACCGCAGAGTTACACATTTTGCTGACCGAACCTTCTGTATAGTTTCTGCATCATCGCATCTGATGTATGAAACGAGGTATAGTAGTATAGATTCGAGATTTTAAAAATAAGTGTGGGGGGTGGGGGGGAATTGCAAATTCAGAGCACAAGTATGTTTGTGTTGTCTAAACCGCTTCTTTTGTGTCCGTGTCTAATCACCTACATTCTCTCATCAGGTAGGAAGGCGTATACATTCGCCTGCTTACCTCTAGCTGGTATGGGAGGAAGCCCTTGATCTTGAACTGCGACCAATTCGTATAAGCGAAATTGCTACGTTATTGAGATACCTCTGTAGATACTTGAAAGTGCAACTATGCCACCAGGTGTGTAAGACATAAGATCTTTTGCACATGACCTGTTGTGCGTCGGGACCATCTAGGAACCTGAGATCAACCGCAGCTGCTAGAAGACTTGCTGCACAATGACTAAATTTTGGTGGCCACCGTGCCTTCAACAAGTCATCTGCTGTAGTAGTGTGACTGACAAGAACAAAGATCCAAGAGGCTTTATAGTCGTGGGAGGTGTGACTCTGCCTGAAGAAGTTGTCTGAACTATCAGCAAAGGACCAAAGTACATGACCGACTAGCGATTACCCGCAGTATGTCAAGCCAGGTCGACAAAAGGGGACGTCATGGAAAGGATGCATTCCATAAGGCACGAGAAGCCGTCGACAAAACTGTAAACACAAAGCCTGCCGAGAAAGTCAATAATCCGACTGAAAATGTCGTTACTCTCTTCAAGCAAAACAGTCGGTTAGGTTGATCTAGGCTGCCAAGACTGGAGGATTTGTAGTTTAAAGCGAAGATGACTTCAACAAGTTGGGCGAAGGAGCCATTGCCAAGAATAAAGGGCAAAGACGCTACTAGTGTTCAATAACCTAGAACTAATTAATAATGCAAGTTCAATTATGGGGTGTAAAAAGAAAGCGCTCACAGATTTCTTCACTGCAAAAACCTAAGGGCTTCGGTTCTTTTAGAGGCGAAGCTCTTTTTAGGGTGAAGCTCCTTAAGGTTCCCTCTTCTTAAGTAGTAGTAGTAGTAGTGTGTGTGTATGTAGCCACCTCTAGTTTATGAATTGCTTACTAGATGAAGTCCTGTGTATATGTCCTTAAAGGGCCACTCACTATGTCCCATACCAAATTTTAGTTAGACCACAAATATTTTTTAATTGGTTCATTACGAGCTGAGAAAACCGTTTTTTTTTTCAAACGGCGCGAAACGAGGATGAGAGTAGGTGAGCTCGAAACCCTTGCCGCTCCTCCGTATCTTCGCAAGTCAAATCTCTTCGCTACCCTCTCTGGTATTCGACCAAGAGGTGAAGTGCGCATGACGTGCCCGAACAAGCCCAACTCCCGTGCACGCGAGCGGCGTTTTTTTGTTGTTGACGAGCGTTGTTTGTAGGTCTACTGCCTGTTTCTGCAGGATGGTTTGGAAGCGCTATAGCTTAGATGCGGTAGAATAAATGAGCACAATGAGTTCGCGAATGCGTAGGAGCGTTCCATGGCTGCTGCCTGCTCGATGCACTGACTGTGGGGACACGGACGCATGCAAAACGCCGGTACATTAGCCCCACATCTCGTTGCAGTTTATGGGGAAAAAACTGAAAAAAAAAATAAGGCTCACATTCCCTTATTGCATCTCATTATTTATCTAATGATTTATTAATCTCTTCAACAAATAAATACATAAACTACGCAGGTCATGTAAACAACTATCGCCATGTCATGTGCCACTGTTTGTAACGTCAGAGCATAGTCATCTACGTAGAGGACCAACGTCACTGCACTGCTGTGTGCGTAGGGCCATTCATGTGCTCATTCTCCGGGCGCGCGCCTGCGAAAGGAAGGGGGAGCAGCGTTCATTTTGAAATTTGATCCATTCCCGCGGCGCGTAGCATTGCAAATTTTGGCAGACGTGACCGTGAACGCCTCACCTACGCATTGCACATGTCAGCTCAAAATTGTCAAACCTGGTGAGTGGCCCTTAAAAATATCAGTAGCGCCCCCCAGCTCATCATCATTCACTGTGCGGATAAGCTGTGAATTTTACAGAACAAGCTTCATTGAAAAGTTTTGGCGGGAGAATTCGAGTGCCCTGCATATTGATGATACATTTGCGAGAAAGAACTCTGGTTGACTGGTGAGCTTCTTGGATTCTGGCACTTGTGCAGGCAAGGCCCGTAGCCAGAAATTTTTAAGGGGAAGATGGGGGGGGGGGGGGATTTTTTTTATTCAAAGCCAAGACTGGCCAGGCAAATGTGGTGATGTGCATTTTGTGTTTGGTATGCTGTTGAAAAAATATTTGGGGGGGGGGGGGGGGAGTCAAACAGGCCTGTTGTGCCACCCCCTGGCATAGACCAATGCAAAGCCTCGATTCCATCATTAAAGCAGTATTTTAAAGGGACACTAAAGGGGAAGAATGACTTGGTTTAGATTGACAAATTGCATTTTGTTAAATGTTTGTTATTAGCAGAGAAAGTCAAGGTTGAAGCTTCATTTTCAAATTTCGCATCGAAATCTGTGCGTGAGTCAAAAATTTCACAATAATTTTTTCTATTTTCCCTGCATTTGCTCGATCAAATTTTCTGAAACTTTGTAGGACACGTCTATGGCACCCACAGATGGCAGTGTACATCATTTTTATCGATTATAATCTACGCAGAACCCAGTAGATGCGTACAAAACCTATGAAGTCATGGTGTTTGGTGCAGGGAATCATTTTACTGCCTTCTCTTCTTTCCTCTTTCTCCCCTCCTATCTTCCTTTCCTCTGTTTCTTCCTTCCTCCCAATAGAGTGAGCAGGCATTGTGCCCCTCCAGGTGGCAGTTGCCAGCTTTCCCTCTCCCTCTTTCCTCTGTGTCCTTGTGTATCCATGTATGCAAATGAAATAAAATATATAACCATCGTGTCGCGGTAAGAGTGGTGTTTGCACAGTACTTCACTAAACTGTACATTACTAATAGGAGAGAAATCGTTTTAGTAACTAGTTTTTGTTCGAAGTGGCTTAACTGATATACAAGCACAGTACATTTATAAGCAATGTGCCTACTATAATTACGTCCTTATACAGATGGTGTTGCTCCAAAGTATGTCTCTATTGTTCGTGTTACCGTCGTTTTATGCCGTTGGTATCTGTCATGCATAACTGCGATGGTGGACTAGCCTCCTTACGCCTTGCGATTTTTTTTTCCCCCCTTGGCAGATCTATGGGGTTTCGTTCCAAATTAACCGAGTACTAGTTTTCTCCATATTCATGACCTCTCCAGACTCATGGCAAAACTGCTTTGACTTCTTGAACCCTACATCTATCAGCATAAAATTATGCCAGCATTAACACATCATCATTTGTTCCAACGTGCTGAACATGCAAATAATATTGGTAGCGGGAGAACTGCCCCTATGTGAATTAGTAGGATGGTTTCATTCCATAAGATATGTCACCAAACTACTATTCCTCCACCTTGGTAACCTAATTAGCATACATCAGCTTTACGGGGCATTTCCTTTCGTACGTTGAGGAATTACATGAATCGAATTCAACTGCCCGGTCATTCCTGGAATGGTAATGAGATAAGCTTTTTGTTCCAAGAAATTGAAAAGAATGCAACTGTGGCAGGTTCTAATTCAACTGCTGTACAGCTGCTTCATGCGGCTGTGCTTTTGTCTTCTGTTAGCCACACCTTCCACTGTCTGTGAAACATGGGTGCTTGCTTTGTCCACGTGTGTTCCTAAAATTACCTGGAGGGAACTCTGGTGCTGCGATCATTCAGCGACCGTGGGAATGATGGGTAGTACATGGATTTGCTTGGTCTTCCTGCTTGCGAGCCTCAAATGCACTTACGGCTTTGTTTATTGCCATTTTGTTTTGTTTGAAATAAAACAACAGACGAATGTAAACTTCGTGAGCCGATTTGAAAATATGGGTTTAAAGGTTAAAGCAGTGAAGTGTGCAACTGCTGAACATTTGCCGATTGTCGTTTTGTAACAAAGCAACTTCAAGCCACACAAAGCCAACCCAAGCAGAAAGTACGAAAATGAGACGAATTTGTGTACTACCCATCATTCCCATGCTGTACTACAGCTCTCATAGACACTAGCGCCAGAGTTTCCTCTAGTGTGTTTATAGGAAACTATGCGTGTGGGGTCCTCCTGTTGCCCTCCCATGTGATGTGGCTGAGTATTGGTTTGTCCTGAACACTACGGACAGGTGCCACAAAATCTTGAGAGATGTATTTTACGTAGGTAGTACAAATTAGTTCGAAGCTAGGATGGGAGTATTACGGACAAAGAGGTACCGAGCCAAGTATGGAGGGATACACACTACACAGAGCGTGTGGAGATTATGAAACTGTTAACACCTGATACTTTCGTATAACAAGCTTTAACCTACAGTCCTAGGAGGGATACACACTATACAGAGCGTGTGGAGAAGTCCTAGGCAATGAGGCTGAATGTCTCAAATTATTAGGGTTCAGGATAAATGGAGGCAAACAGGCTTCAAGTAGATAGAAATAACCAAGAGGAAGCTATCTTATTGGTAAAATTAAGTCGGGAGTAAAATTGAGTCTTTCACTACATAATGTTGGTACTTCAAACGGGTGTACTGCAGCTCCATCCACCCGCACATGCAGCATCAAATGCGCAGGGGGCTTTGTTTTCAAACGTTGTTTATTGATTGCTAAGGTGCTTTATGTACAGTTCAACAACTAGTTCTTGCTTGCAACGTGTGGCAGTTTGAAGCTTCAGAGGCCTGCCAACCTGGCCGCGATAGCCGCCTCCGACGAACTGTAGGCTTCTAGTAACCCGCAAGGAACTTTGACATAAAGTCTGTAGGCTTCGGGTTGACAGTTTCCTTGAAGTAATTCATAACGTGGGATTTTTGCTTGAAGATACTGAGCGTTTCCACAAGCTCCATTTGGCCCTGCAGTTAAATCAAAGGGCTGTGATAGCATTCGACAAGACAAAATGTAGTACTCGTAAAAAACTTCATTTCTGTTTGTTTTGCTTGTGAGCTGATAGCATCGAAAAAGCTATGACAACTTTACTGAACTTCATACCGACAGGGTTTTTGTCATAAGGCATCGTTACATGGGAAATTGTGACAATGTTTTGATGAGGAATGATTGATTTTAAAAGATACTTTAAGGTACCAGTCTGCAGCACCAAAGATACTCCAGATATCCATATCTCAAACTGCACATGTAGATGGACCCTCTCACAAATTATATGCCATGATAATCTTCCTGCTCCTCATAAAGAATTTTTTTTAAGATGCTGTTTCTTTTATAATGATGCAACCTACTGGTATGAGCAGTATATTGCAGTAGCATAAGCGACAGTGGGTTACAAAGTACACTCAAACCTCGATATAACGAAATATCGGTTATAATGAAGTAACTAACTATAGTGATAGGAACTAGAGTAATAGAAATTACTTTTACAACAAATTTTCAGATATAACAAACTTTTTTGTGACACGCAACATTGTTATAATGAAGTTTGAGTGTTACTAATGCAATAAACTTGCTGTAGCATAAGTGACGGTGGGTTACGAAGTACTTTAAACCTCAATATAACGAACCTGGATATAACAAAATATCGGTCATAACAAAGTAACTAGTCTTGCAGTAGATATAGCGACAGGAATTTACTTTTATAATGAATTTTCAGACATGGCAAACTTTTTTTCTGTGTAAAATTGCTGTAGCGTAAGCAACGGTGGGTTACAAACTACCTCAGACCTCGATATAACGAACCTTGATATAACGAAATTAACAAAGTAACTAGTCTTGTAGTAGATATAGTCACAGGAATGTACCTTCATAATGAATTTTCAGATATAACAAACTTTTTTTGTGTGCAAGATGCAACTTTGTTATAATGAGGCTTGATTTTACTACAATCGCCAAGCACAATCTAGATGTTGAGCGATGTCTACATTTGATCTCAACCGAGTTTCACATTCACGATTGGCTCATTTGCACTACCTGTGATCGACAAAATTGACTCTAATCGGGTAAAATGCACTAGCACTACGACGACTAATGGCCCTACACATGCTGTTGTTCACATCGACCAGCAAGAAGCAACATAGTTTCAAGGCACACTGGGCTACTGCTGCCCAGTGTGTTATAGTATTTAGCAGACGTTTCTAGTACTATGGCAAAAGTCGTCTGCTACCATATTCTGTTTTGCACGTCAAGAGCAACGCGGCAGAGACCAGCGATACTTTTTCCAGTTGATGTATTCACATCAAGAAATAGTTCAATGTTCTTACAAGGCCGAATATAATTATCTTTTTGTTTTTGTGCCAAGTGGTAATTGAAGGTGTTTTGTGCTGTTCCTCACATCTAAACATATGCCAGTTCCTATGTGGCTGGATTGCTTAGGGACTATTTGATTACTGTTGCAGCTTGTGACGACGTGCCACTTGGGTCACACATTTACACTGCCTGGGGTTTTTTAACGAGCACTAAATAAGTTGCATAGGCCTCAAGCATTTTGCTCTCTATCGAAAATGAGGTCGCCCCAGTCAGGATTCTGCCCCCCGACTTGTGGGTCAGAATTCGAGCGCCATAAGTGCGAGACCACCAATTTTCTGACCTGAGACCAGCCCCACAAAAATGGGCATGGATGCGAAAGTCAGCTGTTCAAAACGCTCTAGAAGTCCTCGACTTTACAAAAATGAGTAAGCACTATTGGATGAAGCGTACGCGAATTCTCTGGGGGCGGAGTCAACATTTCATTGCAAGTTGCAACCAAGCATAGCGCCGTTTTGCCAAAACATTTGACCTCGAACGAACATGCCCGAACACTAGTTCTGCATGAACAAAGTTGTTATTAGCCCTTAAAAAAAATGTTATACATTCAATTAGTATTTGCCTGCCTAAAGAAATGTCTGTGTGACATGTTTCGACATTCATAGTGGTCCCATCTGTTACCGAAATCCAAAGCTATATGAAGAAGCCTAGTGGTTGGCTTTATTACAGGCTAACCTCTCTGTCCTTCCTCTCCTCCTCCTATTTACAGAATAGATTGAACATGGGCTGAAAAACTAGACAAAAGGGTGCTTTGCATTTGGCATATGCACTGTGATGATAACACTAGGCGATAATGTGTGCAAATGTCTGCATACCCAGTTCTAATGCTCTGTATTGTTTCAACAAGCCACAAAGCGATGAAAATGTGTGAAAGACTTTGATTAGGTAAAAAGATTTACCGAAAAACAAGCAAAATTTTTTAATACTTTGGATGAAGAGCACCGAAAAACACAGACTATACATAACCAAAACCAACTGGCCATCTTACTAACAACATTGCCTGCTAGAGCAGACGACAGTGATTGAAGTAGTGATAACAGTGTTGTCTTTAAAGTAGCACCAAGACGGAACCATTTTGCGTACAAAACATGAGTGTAACCACCCGGGGCTGTTATAAACGAACAGTACCTTATTCTTTCACACTGTGAGTTTAATAAGGTCATTGAATGCCGAATGCACCAACCCAAGTGTTTTCATGCATACGTGTCAACCACAAAAATATTCATTTCGTTAAGCACTAAGACAACAGCTGGAAATGGTGGCTTGAAAACTCGGCCGCAATATAGTCCGCAAAGTTGGTCGCACCTTAATAACTAGCAAGTCGATGGCCCGAATGTCTCGAACGTGCTTGTTCTTGAGGTACTCTTCCCGCAGCTTGGCCCTTGCTTGCTCCGCTGATACCGGTATGTCGTAGATTTTCACTGCAAATGTGACACAAGAGAGTAGTTAACTGAAACCGTCACATGTGTGAGCATCACCGCACTTGAAACCAAGACCGTCATCAGCACACTACGCTTGGCGACAAACCAAAAAAATTTGCCCTCAGTCTACAGCGTGGCAAGCCATCAATTCATCTGTGAAAAGCAGTCTTACAAGCCAGTTTCCACTCAAAAAGTAGAGTTTATTTATTTACACTACCTTATAGGGTACTTGTGAGGCCTTGTGTAAAGGGGGGCAGTAGAGAGAATAAACATGAGAGATATACATAGATAAGATAATGCTTACTACAGAGGATACATTTGATCTCATGAACATATAAACGCAAAATATGCAATACAAACGATAATGTAAGATAACCGTTGAACCAGCAACAGTGCAACATAAGATTATAACTAGCGAAAGAGTTTTCCGCATTTGAATATACAAAACACAACAGATTATCAAAATGTCATACATCAAGTTCAAAGCATGAATATTTTTAAATATTGTTACAGAACTTTGCGTGGTCTCGCTCTGATGCAAGATCATCTCGCAGATCATTCCACAGACGAATAAGGAGATGCCACAGAAAGGCTGAGCCACTGCCGTTGGTGGGGCTTTCGGACCGATAAAATACGGCCTTTTTTTTGTCGTCATCCAGAGTCGAACGTATAAGTGAACCTCATTTTGCAGCCACAAATTGACAAGAACGCAAAATGAGCTCTAGGCCATTCGAAACTCATCCGGACAGCAACTGCCCAAGGCACATCAAAGCCGAACTGCTGTTCTCTGGTGACGTGTGCTTCCGATCTCATGTAGGCGTTCAAGAAAGGTGTTCACTGAAAAGATATGCGACTCTAGAACATCTCAAATATTGTGTTGCGCAACAACACCTCTTCACAGTATTCCCCTGTACGATTATAATAACACACGTCATATATGAAAACCACATTCTTTCTGCATGACAGCTGAGCAACGCTTTGCTGCATTCCTTGACTCATTTTCTTAGCGACAGGTATCTCTACATCCTTCAAAATAGTGTGTGTCATAGTATTTCAGACTAAACAAGCCATGGACATGTGCATTCACAGTGTGCTACAAACCAAACAAAAATGCTGATGACGGGTTTTAGCTGTGTACGAAGAGAGCGTCCTGAGTAATGCTCTTTTAATGCACACCGGCTTGTGATCGTATAATGCCTTGTAATCGTAATCTATCACGCAGCTTAAAGTTGTTGTTCTGGTACAGTATGTGTGTGCATTCACCGACTCATAGTTGAAAGTTATCGTGCACTTTGATATTGCATGCCACGGAGGGGCGCATTGTCGATCACACATCGCATGACAGCGCCTGCGATCAGCGGAAAGGTCAGTACGATGATCTATGATAAAATGGCGAGTACAATGGTGTGACACTTGGTTGCCATGGTAGAGTTGCTAACGAGGCAATAACAAGGGATGCGATGCTCGGGAAGTCACCAGCAAGACTGGCTACTGAGGTTGTCTCATGCTCATGCACTGCGCTCGGAATGCACACTGTATGTTTGAGTATCTTTCGGCGACATGCACGAGGACTGACTTCACATGACGAATCTACCAGCTGAAGAAGTATGGCATCTTTGCAGAAGCCATCTTGACTGAAGCTACGGCTAAATGAGCGGTCAAAGTCCGCCTGCGAGTCAAGGAAGCCGAAGACACCCTGTGGGGAAAAGCCATAGAGGCCAAGTTTACCCTCGAGCGCTGCAGGAAACTAAAAGAAGGCATGAGTGAGTCCCACTTCTATGATAACAATATTGGCAGCAGCCTTCTGTTCAAGGTGAGAGCTGGGGCTCTTTGCACTTTTGAGTACCACAGAATGTTTGACGACGCTGTCGTCATCAGCCTGTGCAGAGCTTGCAGTGCAGAGACTGAAACACAAGAACACCTCGTTCTTCAGCACAGGAGTCTCCCAACCGCTCTCGTGGAGGGTCCAACCCTCCCACAGGTGATTGGGTTTCAACTCTTTGATGAGAATGACATAACGGGGGGGGGGGGGGACATGCAGTGAAAGTCATGCAAAGGCGGCTTTCCAGTGGTAGGCAACTGTACGCCGGACTTAGGACCTGGGCTGCTCTGCGCGCTTCTTCTGCCTTTGTTTTTTCTTTCTCGATGCCAGGGTACTGAGTGCGCTCTTCCGTTGCAAAGGGCCACGTCACCACCACATCATCATCCCCTATTGGATGGAGCATTTATGAAAGTGGTACGAAAAGAGTGCCCGAGTAAGTCAGGTTTGGTCTCGATCGGGATCAAGTCTTTACACCACGATTGCGATTGCACTGTCGGAGGAACAGTGACGGTAGTGGGCGGAGTTGGCATTCTTAGGCTGTAACTGAAAATAGCGCGAGCTTAAAATCACGAAAGCGACAATATAGCAAGGTGTTCAGTGAAAGAGCCTCGCTATGGGTGTAACATGAGCACTCCAGATCGAGACAGAGTCTCTAGACTACGATTGGGTTCATTCTGTAGCTTGCACAAGTAGCGAATAGCCAATGCTCAGCAAGAAGCTACATGAAACAGCCAACGGCGATCAAGAAACTCTCTCGATAGCAGTCGGAACCATTGCAATGTTAAAACCTGTTTTAGCCTCGATTCTACGTGGGACTCGCTCGCTGGATTTCGTGCCGACCGGTTGTGCCCCCGCGATATCCAACAACAGCGCAGCTCTGGCGGACTGGGCTCCCACTATGCCATCTCCTGACGCCGACAAGAGCTCTCGCCGAGTGGTGCCCCGTCCTCAGACTCCTGCGACCGTGTCCATCTTCCCTATCTCCTCTTTACTTCCGTCGTTTTCTGTCGTATGTTGTCCCTGCGCCTCGCTCTTTCCTTCCTCTATCTATCTATTTACCTTTTAATCCTATCTTTTTTAATTCCTCCTCACCCCCATCCCTTGTGAGCTACTGGTGAGGTGTTGCACTCTGATGCAGACAGTTACGGGGCTCACTTTTCTCTTTTCTCCTTTAGAATCACATAAGATTCTACGCTTCTTTTCATGTTTTTTCATGCAATCGACACCGCCGAAGCACCTCTTCTTACTATGGTTGAGCTGCACAAACGATGCGAAACGCACAATACCAGGTTTGCATGCAAACTAATACTCGATGAAGTGGACGACCGCCGTCGTAAATTAATCAATTGGTGGAGCATCGGGCGCCTTATCCGAAGGTAGCAGCTTCGGTCCGTGCCGACGGCAAGTTTTACTGCAGTCCACTTTACTTTCTTGAGATCAATATCGCAATTACTGGAATACATTAAACAATCGCCCCCCAATATCGCAATTACTGGAATACATTAAACAATCGCCTCCTTCCTTGGCTTCATTATCAGCTGGTTTTCATTACGGGGGCAAACATTATACTGATTAAGCACAAGCGCGGATCAGTCAACTTCGTACGCGCGAAGTCAGTCGGACTGGCTTAATAATACGTCAACAAGCGGTATTTCCAGTGTAGTATTTCTATGCAACCGGCGACATCGAAGCTGAACACAGCTAGAGGTCATGCAAACACAGCTGAGATGACCAGTCCGTCGGCGTCATTCGTTTCGTTCTCTCAGACACGACCAAGACAGCTGTCATCGCTGCGCTTACCTATGTGAGGCATCTGACGATACCAAGCCTTGTACAAGTTCAGGGCCCTTCGCCTCGCTTCGCTCTGGTCCAGCGAAAGCAAGGGTTTTACCGTTCGAGCAGTCGATTTTACCAAGTTGGACGCCATTTTGCGAGAACCGTGGCGTCCTCTGGTGCGGTCAAGTGGCGGCGACGACGTTCTTGTTTTAGATATTCCATTCGCGAAGCTAGGTTTAAATTTAACCACAGAAAATGTTCTAAGTTTTGGTGCCTCTGTTTTGGGAAATTGCCACAGAGATGCATTCGATGCGGTGTGTAATTTTATTCAAGACTCTAAACGTTTTTCAACATAAAGCCCACGTTAATAAATACCCCCCCCCCCCCCCCCAAAAAAAAAAAAACGGGTCGAAAAGTAATTTTCAATTGTGGATAAATCCGTGACATACCAAACTAATCGGGTTTGGCAAAACCAGCTGTCTGGTCGGCTCCTAAAATCGAGTTGTAGCTATTAGTGTCTACTTTGTTGTTGATTCTTTTTTCTCACTATCTAAATCTTTGGTTTCTTTTTTTTTTTAACATACTGTCTTCACTATACAACTCCCCCAACCCCCCCCCCCCCCCCTTTTTTTTTTTCGTTGTAAGCAATAATGCAGTTATCGTCCATATGAGACTATATGTTCTCTTGGCCAATCCCCCAGAGTGGGTATGAGCCATGGATTAAAGGAAACAAACAAACAAACAAACAAACAAACAAACAAACATGCGCCAAATCGAGAAATTTCGACGAAGCGCATATCACTTTGCTCTACCAGCGTTCAGGTAGCAATTTTTGTGTGCTGAAACCCCGAGCAGAAAAGTTTTTTTGCTGCAGTTGTAACTATCGTTCACGTTTCTGACTGAAACGTGAACGGCCGACGGAAAACGGTAATTCGCCGACTGCTTCTCAGAACGCGTAGATTATTAATTACACAGAAACTATGTTCAATCACGTCCCAAATTTAATGTGCTGCAGCAAGGCGCCAACGATTTCGCGGGCAAGCACCCGATTTCAAGACGTCGCTATAAAATCGCGAACCACCATTCGACCCTCCTTTTCGATACTCATCCCTTCCCACGGAGGAAGGAACCTTTCTTTCCTCCGTGTCCCTTCTTATCAAGTGCAGCCACAGCAGAGAGTTTCATTGGTTCCGCACGAAACCGCAACATAGCAGGCGACCGACCGCGCAGCTAACGCCGATTAGGCAGTACTGGCCATTCGGTATGTTGTCACGGAAAGTTTGTCCAATACATGTAGGTCCGGCTTCGAAACGAACGCACTCAAGTAGTAAACAACTTTATCAAGGCAGCTGACGGCTTTCTAGGTGGCGAGGGCTATCAGGCCATGTCTGGTCGCCACCTCGTCAGCGCGTTTGATGGCCCGCAGCTGGGCGTCCAGGCTTGTGGTCGTGAGGATTCTCTCTCAGGCCTCACTTGAAGGTGACTGTCCTAGGAAGTCTGACGGGGAGGGTCCTTACTGCATCTTGTAATGTACCAAGAATAGCGTGCGTGATACGAAGTTCGCGGCCAGGAGATCAACGACTACGAAACCCCGCCAAGCTAGACTGCACACTGGTCGCGAAGGTGAAAGCTCACCCCATAAAGCCCTAAAAGGTTTCAAGCTTGCGGTAAACGCGATGCCTCTAGCAAGTACGATGACGATTACGCTTTTCCCGGCAGGCTCGCTCGCTGGATTCCGTGCCGACCGGTTGTGCCCTCGCGATCTCCGACGTCAGCGTAGCTCTGGCCAACTGGGCTCGCCCTACGCCATCTCCTGACGCCGACCTCCGACGACAGTGTAGCTCTGACCGACTGGACTTGCTCTACGCCATCTCCTGACGCCGACAAGAGCTCTCGCAAGTGGTGCCCAGTCCTCGGACTCCTGTGGCCGTGTTTTCATCTTTCCTATCACTCCTATCCCCTCGATATGTCGTCGCTCTCACGCTTACCTCATCTCTCTCTACACCTTTATTCATATATACTTTTAATCCCTCCTCACCCACCTTCCTTGTGAGCTAGTGTTGAGGTGTCGCTCCCTGAAGCAGACAGTTACGGGGCTCACTTCTTTTCTTTTCCTTCTTCAACATAACCACTCCCCCCTCCCCTTTTTCAGTGCAGTTGATAAGGACGGTATGCCATGTTGCGCCGCGCGCGTCCGCTCTTTATTGTTAGGGTGTACTAGAAGTGTGTACTTTTGTCCTGCGTCAGGCGTAACCGGCAGTAGCTCGCGAGCCGCGGCTGCTCGTGCTCGTCGCCAGACAGACGGACGGACGTTTCGCCCCACTCATCAGTCACTCTGTGGATGTGCTGCGATTATTCTTTTCCTATCTTCTTCCCTCCGCCCTTCGTTCGTTCACTGCGAGTCCCCTCCTTCTCTGTGTCGACATCGTCGCTCACTCTCCAGCGGCGCACACATCGCGCCTCTTTTCAGGTGCGCACACCTCACAGCTATTGCGACAAACATTTTCCGGCGACCGCATTATAACCCGCCGCTCTTCTTGAAAGACTGCACAGTAAGCAGTATGCGTATACATGGGATTCTGTGAGAGGGTAAACAGGAGCAAAAGAAAGACCGCATTGCAACGCTATGTGTACGCTATGTGTAGGCGGCCAGGTTATAAGTGGTCTACACTGTGACTGGTTCTGTCGCGATTCCTCGTACCTTTTGCCAAGACCGTCTGTCTCCTTTCTGGACCCTTGTCCATCTTTCATAGGATGTCTGATGAACGAGGACATGGCTTGCATCAATGGGGCAGGCCCGTGTAAGCACAGTTCAATGACACTTCCCAAGTACAGCAGCAGCACGCATCAACGCGTTGAAAAAAGAAAAGCAAACAAGAAAAAAGTGATGCCACATTCACGAAGTGAATGACGATTACATAGCTAGCTCCAGAAGTTAAATCTGGTAAACCGAGAATCCTTCGTACATCCACTCAAGCATCATACAAAGATGTGCCCTATGAGAGGCAGTGCAGGTTTGGGGATGTTAATTGCCAACAATTATTATTATTATTATAGTGAATGTCCGTTGCAACGCCTCCGCGCCACCTCTTAGGTGACTAGAGGGCAGCTGCCCCCCCCCCCCTCTCCAGAACAGCATGGAACCAGAGGAGCCTGTGCAGCAGTCGCCTTGCAAGCCCTTCGCTTCATGGTGTGTAGGAATATCGAAGCGCACTAAGCGATGTCCAGCGAAAGAGGGAGAAAGCACAACAAGAGCGAGCGTTATATATAGGCGTGGTTTTTTTCAAATTATAGCATGCGTCGAGAGTCGAGCGAGCACCGCCTAAGTGGCGCACCATCTAGTGGGCGCTGTTGAAATAAACCGAGAGCGCAGCTGCACCGCTAGCGGGAGCAGCAGGAACTAGCGTGGCTACTGCGGCAGTAGGGACGGACAAGCCTTGAGCTTAAGAAGCAAGCTCCTAAAAGCTGTGACGCCACCGCCATTCGTAATGTAAACGTGGAAGCACTAAGGCCTACAATGTTTAGACGGAGTATCTCTGAGACATCTCCAAGACAACGAAGCGCCGCTGATGGCCCCATCTGACAAACTGGCGACGCGATGCACATGGCTTCCCGCACCTGTGCGTGACTGCCGCAGGGTACGTTCATACCATACAGTATGTTCATATCAAGCATGGAAAGGGGAAAATCGAATCGCGACAACAGTCTTCTATTACATTCCAGACTAATAGGACCTTGGCCGGGCCCACCAAAAAAACTTGCGTTACCTCAAGATTAATGAGAACCCTGATCTTATCACTGAGGTTTTATTGTATATTTACACATAATCACTTGCTCATTTATACAAATAAAATACTTTCCATTATCAGTGCTTTTAACGTTCCATAAGGCACCCGTTGACAACTCGAAGCAGGTGCGAGTTTTCCAAAGCAGCAGCAACTCGCTCTTTGTCCTCCAACTGCTTGTTGACTGCAAGAAATGTATGAAATAAGCACTGTAGATCATGCAGGGAAGTAGCAATGGCACATACACTATGCAATGCGTGCACTGAGTGAAATGGCATTAGTACAATGTTTGTATAAGTGGCTGCCAGAAGGCCGTCTGCCGTTATTTAGTACAAAACTAACCATAGATGGCTGCCACAAAAGCCATAACTTGTCATCTTGAAGGACCCCCCCAAGACCAAATTTGGAAACTCGAGATGCTTGCATTTGATAGTGCTGCATGTGTGGGCACTTCTGACTGTTTATTACTGACGAACAAGTGTGAGGGCTCACCTGATTTCTCGGCACCTCGTGACATTGCTGCTAGAACGTGGTATACAGAGGCCCCTTATGATGTTTCACAAGAAAACGGCGTATTGCTGACGTTCCAAGACAGTGTCAATAGCACACGAAACCACAATTAGCACCCAACGAAAGCTATTGTTTCTTGCCCCTTTCGCTATGTTATCCGGCTGCCCTCAGGGTGACTTTGGGGTGCTTATGCCTGGAATGCTTTTCTTTTTCCTGAGGGAGACACGCTCTAGGACCCACATCGCTTGATACTTAACTGAGCGCAGGTCCCCCAATTTGAAAACTGCGCGTTTAGCGACACCGAAGTTCGAGCACACATGGTTTTAAGTGCTCCCCAGCTGTGGGGTATTAGTTTATTCAAATTTGGGGTGGGCATTCTGAAGTGATGCTAAAAGTAGTCACAATTAATGACACGATACATTACAGCACTTACGATTCAATTTCAGCATTACCAGACACAAGGCTACAAATTGCAGTAAAAAAGTCACAAACAAAAATTTTCCTGTCGGGGGTCCTCTTAACGTGAACTTGTAGGAAGATTGAGAAAAACAAGCACAATGAAGCAAAATGAGAATAAAAATGCAGGAGGTGCACGAGAATGTATACATTGGAGAAAAGAAAAAAAAAAATAGCAGCATATCCAAGTGAATGATGGGGAGTGGGGCGAAGCATTCGTCCGTCCATTCGTTCTTGCTTCCGTCCGTTCCTGCGTACGTCTGTGTAACCCTTCAAGCGTCCATCCACCCGTCCGTGCGTGCGTCTGTTCGTGCGTCCGTCCCTGCGTTCGTCCATGCATCCGCACCTGCGTCCGTTCATGCGTCCATCCATGCATCTGTCTGTGCGTCCCTTCGTCCATCTATTCAGCACTCCAAGTACCACCATCTCGCATCTTTTCATCATATATTCTCCATATGGAAGCACCGCCATCGAGCGGACATTTCAAGGACTAAATGTGAGGTGGCACATGCACACTTTCTTACGGCTTACTTACTAAAAATGCGTTACCTAAAGGCCGAATGCTCCTGTCTCTCATTGCCCCTTAGCAGCCATTAACATGTGCATTGAGCAATATCTTTAATTGTTCAACAACGCACAGAAGAAATCTCTCACCGGAACCACCTTGGCGGTCAAAATCGTAAGGACCGCTATTTCGGGTATGTGCCACTGGTGGTTACATACGAGGGACGCACAAGCCACGCCATAAGGAGCTTCGCCCCTAAAATATGGTGCAAAAAGAGCTGACCTAACAGTAGGACGTACCTGAGGACATATTAACATACATTCAATTGGCCATTGAGACTAGAATTCAGTCCAATATATACAGCTTTAACACAGTATCCACCATAGTGGTAGGCGAGAGTTATATGAAGTGGGGCAAAAGGCAGTCCAGAACACGGGCAAAGCACAGGAAGTAAGCAATGCTAGGCACAAACAAAATAGGAATGTTCTAATACAAAAAAGATCTTGCACAAGGATCTGTCATTCGAAGAGAAAAGACGTAGAGCCCGTGGCTCTATTTCTGGCAATGACCTTTGCTAAGTTGCTAAAACTATGACCTGTGCCAATCACTAATTAGTGTAAATTTGCCTGTTTAGCTAAAGACCAGACACAACCTTTATGTTTTGTAATATGTCGAGATTGCAAATATTTGACAGTCACTTCAATATTCATAGCGTGTTTCTCAACTATTCGTGTTCTCTATGAATTTTTAGCTTTCAAAATATTAAGCGCCAAAAAAACTCCTGTTTCACCGATTGTGCTTACTTCAATTTTTTGATTTTCGTCATTCGCCTCTAGGTTCCAACAAAATACAACCACAACCATTGCAGCCATAGTGTTGAATAGCACTGCCATATGATATAACATACCTTTCTCGCTGGATTACAGAGGCCCATCATAACCAGATGTCGGCTATATATTTCTCTGTGCTGTGGCTACGACACACTGCACTTCATTTTCACAATCGTTGGTTCAGCCCTCTTGACGCACGTCTACTGTGCATTAATGGCATACTTTCCATAAGGAATGGGCATCTACTACTGTTTCAGCAACAATCAACCCAAAGAAGGAATCATTTATAGGCGAATTCCATCCTCAAGCCATGTTGCTCAGTTATGGTCAATACTGTAGAGAGGTGTGGACAAAAAAAAGGGGGGGGGGTGGGGGGAGGCCCGAACAACACACCTTTGCCTCCACTGCAAAGCTTAAAAATTCAAAAAACTAAAAGGGGACTGAAACTAAACCTTGCACGATTCATACGCACCAAGCTCTGCAACAATATTGAATCTTCAAGCTTTTGCTACACAGTTAAACTTAAAATAGGTTTATGTTCACCAGATTTCCAAAGATGACCAATATATTGTGAAAAGAAGCTCAGCAAATATCTTTATACCAGTATATTTCTGTTCACACTTGGTGACCGAGTACTTACTCGCCGATTCCGACACGTGAGTTCCGGGAAGAATCCGAACAGCCACCTTGAATACAGGTGGCAAGCAACGAAGCAGCTTGACCCTGATGGCGAGCCCGATGAGTGTCGCCATGCTGCAGTGGGGTATTGTTGGCCGAAAGGCCACGTCAATGGCAGACTTGTCCAGGTCCACCTGTGGAGCACACATGGGTGAAGCCCTTTTAACTAAACCAGTTGGCCTTGATATTGAAGAGCAAGCCCAAAGTGCAGCCAGTGCTTAGCATTAACATTAAACCCAAATATGAAACCGCAACCCTCACAAATGAGGCAGTTCAGTTAGCACTAGAGACCCCACCGATATTAGATGCATTCAAGCTCGCAGAAAACCGTGTAACTTAACAAACACTTCACCAAATATAGCATAAATGCATGTAATAGGTGTGCTGCCATTTTATAAAGAGCTAAACGAGGTGGACGGCATGCCAATAAGCTTTTTTCGAAAACCGCCGTGAAAACACACTATGCACACCTTCGAATTTGTTAGAGTCGGCAACAATACAGGATGATAAGTTACTACTATTGTGGTATGAATAATGATAACGGTACCTTTTCAGTGATTTTTAAAAATAGATACAGTTAAACTTGATAAAAAAAAAAGCCCAGTTTTACGTAGTTCTGAACTTAGAAACACATTTTCAATTACCCAGCAGGCACCCAAATGGTCCAACATTGCCATTAACTTAAATTACAAGAAACTAGCTTTGTTTCAAACCTCATTTAATAATAAAACATATGTTTTACAAAGAAGCCCCCCTTTTTTTTTGAGCATGTGCTCTTACACTATTACATTAAGACATTTAGCCACTCTAGTTCAAGGCCATAGCTTTATTTTGATGAGGTCGCACCCATGCACAAAACTCACTCAACAGCCTTTACATACCAGATATCCACCACTGTGGTTTCTGGCTAAGGCTGTGGTCTATTGGCTAAGGTTGCTGAACTGCAGGTCGCAGGATCGAATCCGGGTCGTGGCAGCCACATTTTCGATGAAGGCAAAGATGCTCAAGGCCCACGAGGTTCAATTTAGGCGCACGTTAAAGAACCCCGGGTGGTCGAAATTTCCAGAGCCCTCCACTACGACGTCTCTCGTATGCACACTGCGGTTTTGAGACGTTAAACCCCACCACTTGTTATGAATAATTCTTGTGCACCAGATGACGCTGGAGCGATGGTGGTTTATTGACCCTGTAAATCACTGTCACTGGGAAACTGCAGCACGTTTTGCTATTTCATGGTTTATGTGCAAAGTGGCACTGATCATTTCCTCACAACTTTCTTGCTCTGCCTCCTTGTACAGCAACTGTATTCTTTGCATATTGGCAGCTTTTCATTGGCTCGTGTGACTATCTAGCAGGCCTGCACCACTAAACAAGGGAGGGTCCGTGCCCTAGCTGCCTCCGTGTACTTCTCGCATGCACACTAGGAAGTTAGTGGCAGGGTGCTGCAGGAGCTTCTGGGTGTCGCCACGTTACAGTTCTGTTTTGAAAGAATGAAAGATTCCCTTTTTTCGATTTCACGAACTTTCTAATTCATTGAAATGATCAATTGCTGACATCGCTGCGTTAAATCGAGTTTCAGCTGTAAATAACCGTGCATATAGCTGGTCTTTCTCTTTTTTAAGCACACCAGGCTAGACATCAATTTTACAGCCTAAAGTGGGTACAACACCAGGCAACACCATTCTAACACAAAAACATCATTGCCAACCTGTGTGCTTTGACAATGGCTCTATCCAAGCTAGATATATAACAAAGAGTAAGGTTTGCCTCCTCACCGTTATGTTCTTTTCATCAACAACATTCAATTCTTCCAAAGTGAGGGGATGCTCAGGGTCGTTGATAGACCGAATGTGATGTGCGGGAAGTCAAGGTTGACACACACAAACTGTGACATGTTCATCACACTGTAACCAACAGTCGAAACTTTTTTACACCAAAGGGCCAGCAGCACAGTATTGTATATTGAACAGTCAATCACATCAATGGTTTTGTTTCAAAGTGCTCATTTCCAGAGAAACAAAACAGTTAAATACTAAACATATCAAACTATGCAAAGTGATTTAAACTATGCATTATCTGTAAGAAATTCGATTCTTTGATGTTGCCACAAGACGAAGAGCAAAAATTTTTTTCATCGCGAAATGCGTTGCTTGACAAAAACTTGCAGAACACCAACACCACATATCCCACTATCACACAGTGCAGAAAAGTGTTGAAGTTGTTCATACAGTTACTCTGCGGTTGCAAGCGAAACATTGAGGTTATACTTTGAGACATATTTTGCTACTCGCAAGCATATTCGTACCGTTTACTGCACCTCGTTTCAGATACCTTCACTGTGCATCAAGAAACGGGTAGATTTTGCAAAAGGATATCGAAAATCTCTCGCGAGTCAATTGGATCTTCAATCTCCTCGTTGAGTTCTTCAGCAGTTCTCACTCTGTCCTTCACCTTTTCGTAGGTTGACGGAGAAATGTTATCCAAATCATCGCTACGGGCCATAGCTGTAAAGGGTCACTGCTTGCAGGGACCGTGCAAGACCATCAACAGCGAGTCCGAATTTTCAGCCGCGCACATGCCGTGCCTCCCAAACGCGCATGGTGGAGGAGGCAGATGAGGAACCACGACCTTCTATATAAGTTTATATAGCAGGTCGTGTGAGGCATAGAGTTTCTCAAAATTAACGAGAGGGCACTCTGGCGCTGCGATCGTTCAGCGACCATGGGAATGATGGGTAGTACAGCACATTTGCCTAGTCTTCGTACTTGCGGGCGGCGAATCGTACCTTGCGGCTTCGTTTACTGCTGTGTCTCGGTTTTATTTTGAAAGAAAGATTCAATTCTTTTGAACTTCCTGACCCAATTTGAAAGGTAAGTCGAAAAAAATAGGGTGGGGAAGCGCAATCGCTGAACATTTGCTGATTTTTTTGTTTTGTGAGAAAAAAAGCTTTAAGCCACATGAACACACACGGAGCCAAGGGCAGGCCAGAAGTACGAAGTTTAGACCAACGTTTATAGATATATTTATAAACGTTGGTTTAGACCAGCGCCTTCTCTAGGAAGATGCCTGCCGCATGATAAAAAAAAAACAGCTGCCACACCCTTTCTCTCCTTCATTTTGAAAATGTTCTCGGTCGCTAGCGTCACCTGTGGCGGACGGTGCAACAACGCAACACTTTGCATAGCCTCCGAAACAGTAATACACAGTTGCAGGTCTCGAACAACTCTCTACTGACGCGCCCCTATGGGCCGCAGATGAAAAACGCTTAGCTGGTACCGCCCGTCGCCGTGATAATGGATGGATAGATGTGACTGTACCCTTTAGATCGGGCGGCGGCTAACGCCACCTAGCCGTAATACTTAGTGAACTAACCATTACATTTATCTTTTTTTTTCCTTTAAATAATGAAATTGAGGATTCGTACTTCGCAGTGAAGGATTTAATTTTCACTCGTGCCTTGACTTTAGCCACCAATCAGATAACCTCCTTCTAGTTAAGTCTACCCGCTTAAAGTCTATTTTGCCCTCGCTGTCCCAAAATCCCAGTGCTTTGAAAAACTCCGCGCCATCATCCTGAACTATAAGGTGAAGCCCTTTACAGAACATTATCAAGTGTTCGGCAGTTTCTTCTTCCTCTCCACACGCACTGCATACTGTGTCTACCCCTTCGTATTTGGCCCGATATGTCTTGGTTCGCAGTACTCCCGTCCTGGCCTCAAACAGTAGAGAACTACCCCGAGTATTATCATAGATCCTTTCCTTGGCAATTTCCTGCTTAAAAGTTCGATAGATCTCTAGTGCGGACTTCTCAATCATGCCCATTCTCCACATGTCAGTCTCCGTTTCCTTCACTTTCTTCTTAACCGATAGTTCTTTTTGGTTTGGCCACCTGCTGTTTTCTAAGTATTTACCAGTCAACTTCCTGGTTCGCTTCCTCCATTTTGTATCAACATTCTTCATGTACAAGTAGCTGAAAACCTTCCTAGCCCAACGCTCTTCCCCCATTTCTCTCAATCGCTTCTCAAATTTATCTTGCTGCTAGCTTCCTGCCCTCAAATGATGTCCATCCCATATCACCTTGTAGTCCCTGATTTGGTGTATTCCCGTGAGCTCCTAAAGCAAGCCTACCTATTCCACGTTGCTTAATTTCTAATCTTGCTTGAACTTCTGATCTCATGCACAAGACCACATTGCCGAACGTCAGCCCAGGAACCATGACCCCTTTCCATATTCCTCTAACAACATCATACCTATTGTAATTCCACAGTGCCCTATTTTTCATGACTGCTGCATTCCTGTTACCTTTAGTCGTCACGTATATTTCGTGTTCCCTCAGATACTCGGTCCCATTGCTTATCCATACGCCCAGATATTTGTATTTATCTGTTATCTCTAGCGTGACCTCCTGTATTCTAAGCTCACTACTTTCGTTGTCATTGAAAATCATGACTGCTAATTTTTCCTTACTGAATCTAAAATCTAACCTATCTCTCTCATTACCGCAGATGTCCATCAATCTCTGCAAATCTTCCTTGTTGTTGGCCATTAGCACTATATCATCTGCGTACATTAATGCTGGTAGTGCCTGATCAATAAGTTTTCCTTGTTTGACTAAAGAGAGGTTGAAGCCCAGTCCACTTCCCTCTAATTTTGCCTCTAATCCTTGTAGGTACATCATGAATAATAAGGGTGACAGGGGGCACCCCTGCCTAAGCCCCCGTTTTACCTCTGCAGGCTTGGATACCTGTTTTTCCCACTTTATAACTACCTTGTTACCTTTATAGGTACCTTTAAAAGATTAGTGACTACATGTTCCAACGCCTAGTGTGTCCAGTATTCCCCACAATTCCTCTTGAACCACGCTATCGTACGCTCCCTTGATATCCAAAAATGCTAGCCACAGGGGCCTGTGTTCTTTTTCTGCTATTTCGATGCACTGCGTCAGTGAGAACAGATTGTCTTCCAACCTCCTGTGTTTCCGAAACCCATTCTGCAGTTCCCCCAGCACCCCCTCATCCTCTATCCACGCCTGCAGTCTTTCCTTTATAATCTGCATCGCCAGCCTGTAGACCACTGATGTCACTGTTATAGGACGGTAGTTGTTTATGTCAGCTTTGTCCCCCTTTCCTTTATAGATCATGCTCATCGTGCTAAGTTTCCATTCATCGGGAACTTCACCATCGATTATTATTGTGCTAACTGCCTCTCTCAAAGCCTGCTTAGACTTCGGACCTAATGTCTCTATCAGCCTAATTGGAATGCCATCTGGGCCTGTTGATGTACTACTAGGAACCCTTTTCTCAGCCCTTTCCCACTCTTGTTGTGAAAATGGAGCCATTGCACCACTTGATTCGTCCTCGTCTATTGTGGTGCATAAAGTACTTCTTTGTTGAAATTTTTCTGTCACCCTTGTTCTTATATATTCAATAGCTTCGTCCCCTTCTAGCCTAGCACCTTGGGCTGTAGTTATAAAACTCTGCTCTAGGCTCGTCTCATTTCTTAGGGAGTTTAGATGGTTCCAAAATTTCGCAGCTGCCTTTCTATCTTTTTTATGTACTTCTGCCAGCCACTGAGCTCCCTTCCTTCTAATCTTTTCATTGATCAGAAGGGATGCATCCCTTCTACAGCTTAGAAAGGTTGCCCATTTTCTTTCAACATCATCTGTCGGTTCACCCCGCTGCTTAGCATGTCTGTGTTCCCTAGAGGCTTCCTGACGTTTTGCTATGGCTCTCTTAACTTCCTCATCCCACCAACTTTTGGGTTTGTGTCTTCTTTTCCGGGTGACTTGCCACGCGTCTTAGCAAGCTCTAGCTCAAAGAGTCTAATTAGATTCGTGTATGTCCACACTGTCTTATTATCCTCCGTGATTACTTTCTCAATTTGTTTAGTGGCTATTTCAATTTGCCTTTCTGGATAAAATTTTCCTGTAGTTGCTCATCTTGTCTCCTTCCCACTTTCACTGCTCTTCCAAACTTAGCTTGATACGTTGTGATCGCTACCCAGACTTCTGGAGCCACCTTCATCTATGTGCATTCCCCTGAGCTTATCATACATCCTATGTGACATCAGTGCATAATCTATCGTCGACTGAAGTCTTCCTACCTCCCATGTTATTTGCCCTTCACACTTCTCGGTACTGTTTCAATTGATCAAATCAAGCCTTTCACACATATCCATGATCATTTTGCCTGTCGGATCGGTATACCCATCTATATCGTCTATGTGCGCATTCATGTCTCCTAGTATAATTATCTCGCACTCTCTTCCTAACTCCTGAATGTCCTTTGATATACACTCTACCATTGCCTGGTTTTCCTCTCTGGCCTTTGCTCCCGTCCACAAGTACACGAAACCAAGGAGTGTCATTTGACCTGCCACTTTCCCTTTTAGCCATAAATGTTCCTTGCACTCCTGCTTGACCCTTTGCCAGTCTGTACTTTTATGAATGAATGCCCAATACCACCTCCCTTTCTGCTGCCTTCTGTTCTATTACAATATTCCCACGCGTAGTCCGGATTGTTCGGAGGTTGTTCCATGTCCCTGAGATGTGTTTCTACAAAACCGTATACCATCGGCCTCTCTTCCTTAGCTGTTCTTCTATCTCTTCCCACTTCAGCCTGTTTCTACCACCCTGCATGTTAGTATACCCTATGTCTGAATTGGCTCGGCGCTCGTGGCTACGTCTATTTATGCCCCGGACTCTACCTATCTTAGATATTGGTGCCACTTTGGAATCGTATCTGTCCATACTACTGTCGAAGAGTCTCCCTGGTTGTTTTCCCCGTACTAGCTATCCTGCACCCCGAAGGGCTCGCTTGCCCCCCAAAAAAGCTACTGCGCGTCCTGCAAGTCGCCAACCCACCTCATGACCTAGCCGCCCATCGAAGTGAATTCTGTCTCGTTGAAAACCCCCCCACCTATGCACCTCTCTGTTTATTTTCACCACCTCAAAGCCTTTCTCTCGACTCATCCGCCATATCTCTTGGTTTGCGGTAGTGTCGGTCGCGAGCGCCACCGCGCGGAGCTTGTTTAAAACTGAAGGCAGGCCAACTCCGCTGGGAGCGCGAGCCATTCCTCAGGCATCTTTCTAGAGGAGGCGTTGATTAGACAAGTGTGTGTACTACGGTACTACTACCCCATAGAGTTTCCCACAATACTTACGTACTACCCATCATTCCCATGCTCGTTGAAGCGCCGTGCGTTGCTGCTCCCATAGACACTAGGCACTGCGCCGTGCTCCCGACCGGGTTGCAGAAATTAGGTGCCTTTTCTCATCTTCTAACCACTACCACCACCACCATAGACACTAGCGCCAGAGTTCCCTCTAGTAAGTATTGTAGGAAACTCTATGGCACGGTATGGTGTGAGGAACACACACCCATACATCTTCGGATGTATGGATGTACCTGGCTGTGCTCTTTAAACTGGGTGGCGGCTTGCGTTACCTAGCAATAAAGTTGAATACTATTATTATGTTTAAAGCTTCCGAGATTGCGGACGCGCGGCCGCCATCTTAAAGGTTATTAACACAATTGTATTTAACTTTATGGCTAGGTGGCGTAAAACGCCGCCCAATTCAAAGAGGACAGTCAGATGCATCTATTTGTTTATCCATCCTCCGTGGTCACAAACCAAACGTTGTCACAAACGTCATTATTCACGGAGGTAGGAAATGTAGGAGAGGCCTTGACGTCACTCGTT